ATTATTTGACCCTTGATTTCATCGCAGGGTGGGCTTGAAAGCTGTTGAATGAGGACCTGCCTCAGAAACATATTCCTTATGCTTTTTTGAACATATTCATGGAATCATGGAATTGGAACTTTGTTGGAAATCGGCGTTTTTTTTCTTGGAGCAAGTGGGGAAGGTTTGTTCCGGGAAAGCTCCTGCAAAGGGTTTTCCCTAGAGAATTGCTGCCAATTTCATTTTTCCACTTCGTGTAAAAGCGCCTCTGTGTAAAGACTTCTCTGCGTAACAGCTTCTGCTGTAAAAGCTTCTGCGTGCAAAAGATTCTCTGTGCAAAGGCCTCTCTGTGTAAAAACTTCTGTATATAAACGCGCCTGTGTGTAAAAGTTTCTCTGTGCAAAGGCTTCTCTGCGTAAAAACTTCTGTGTGTGAAAACTTCCGTGTGTAAAAGCTCTCTGTGTAACGACTTCTCTGTGTAAAAGCTTCCGTGTGTAAAAGCTCTCTGTGCAAAGACTTCTCTGTGGAAAAGTTTCTGTGTGTAAACGCGCCTGTGTGATAAAGCTCTCTGTGTAAAGGCTTCTTTGTGTATCAGCGTTTGTGTGTTACAGCTTCTGTGTGTAAACGCTCTTGTGTGTAAAAGCTCCTCTGTGTAAAGGCTTCTGTTTAAAAACTTCTGTGTGAAAAAGCTTCTGCGTGTAAAAGCTTCTCTGTGTAAAGGCTTCTGTGTAAAACTTCTGTTTGTGAAAGCTTCCGTGTGTCAAAGCTCTCTTTCTGTGTGCAAACGCGTCTGTGTGTAAAAGCTCTCTGTGTAATCTTCTCTGTGTAAAAGCTTCTGTGTGTAAAAGCTGCTCTGTGTAAACGCGTTTGTGTGCAAAATCTCCTTCGTGTAACGACTTCTCTGTGTAAAAGCTTCTGTGTGTAAAAGCTCCTCTGTGTAAAGACTTCTCTCTGTGCAAAAGCTTCTGCGTGTAAAAGCCAGTCTGTATAAAGACTTTTCTGTGTAAAAGCCTCTGTGTGTAAAAGCTTCTGTGTCTAAGAGCTGCTCTGTGTAAAGGCTTCTCTGTGCAAAAGCCCCGAAAGAAAGCTGGAGGGAGGAGACGAGAAGATAGCACACAAGAAAATATGATGATGAATGCTGCTGGTGAGGAGCTTTTACACAGACGCGTTTACACACAGAAGCTTTACGCACAGAAGCTTTTACACACACAAGGCCACACCGTCCTCTAGTTTCAATCTGTAACGTCGTTTCTTGTTGAAGAATGCCAAGAACATGTGACAGCATCGCTCGTTTAAAAATTGAACATAAACAGCGCGCAAAGTCTTGTAATTTACAGCATTTTGCGCTGTCAGATGGCAAGATCCCCAAAGGTGGCTAAAAACACTCTTATATGCTCTTATTTTTAGGGTTTCCTTCACGTCACGATGTTGTTTTTTTGAGAAATGCGTAAATGCCAGCTTTTTTTGCGTTCATCAAGACAAAACATCGTTTCAACAAGTGCCAAGCATGTTGTAATTTACAAGGGTTTGGCGCCGTCACGGGCAAAAAATAGCGTAAATACCAGCGTTTCAGCGTCCAAAAGTGGCCAAAACACCGCTATTTACAGTGTTTCGTGCCTTCCACAATTTCTTGACATTGCAAAAATTGTTTGAATACAAGCATTTTTTGCGATCAACCAAAACATCCCAAAACAACAGTTTCTGCATTTTTCCTTGTACCCGCTAAAACGCACAAAAGCCGTAATCTACAGCATTTTGTTGCTTCGAAAAGTTAAAAATCGTCCGAAAAATGTGTCAAAACGGCATTTTTTTCCGATTTCAGGTGCCTTCAAAATGGGGGAGGGAAATGCTCTTAGAGACGCCTATGAGCGACCCAGATTCCGTCCAAAAAGGACTCCCCTAGGATTCTTGATGTTTTTCACGGCCGAGGTTGGAGGGTCGGCAGCTGGGTGCGCGCTTCACCATAGAGATCTAGTCGCTCTGGGAAGCTTGTAGGGCAAGCCACTCGTGAGGGAGAAGGGCAGAGTGCGGGTAGCGCGAAAGGGGAGGGCAGATAGCAAACATGCGTGTGCACAATACCTGTGTTAAGCAAGGATGTTTATGGATAGAGTCACGTGCAGAGAAAGCTGCAGAAGACACATGGCAGTAGTGGAAAGGTTCGGCGCGACAAGCGGGGCTTCTCTGCGATGGCAAACGACATATGTACATGTAAGTGTACCAGAATTCAGCTTTTGCACAGCTTCGCAGTTCCCAAACTGCTCAAGTCCGCTCTTGTTCTTGTTCTTGTTGTTGTTGTTGTTGTTCTTCTTCTTCTTCTTCCTCCTGTTGTTGCTGCTGCTGCTGGTGTTGTTGTTGTTGTGGTTGTGGTTGTGGTTGTTGGTTGTTGGTTGTTGGTTGTTTGTTGTTTGTTGTTTGTTGTTTGTTGTTTGTTGTTTGTTGTTTGTTGTTTGTTGGTTGTTGGTTGTTGGTTGTTGGTTGTTGGTTGTTGGTTGTTGGTTGTTGGTTGTTGTTGTTGTTGTTGGTTGTTGGTTGTTGGTTGTTGGTTGTTGGTTGTTGGTTGTTGGTTGTTGGTTGTTGGTTGTTGGTTGTGGTTGTGGTTGTGGTTGTTGTTGTTGTTGTTGTTGTTGTTGTTGTTGTTGTTGTCGTTGTTGTTGTTGTTGGTGTTGTTGTTGTTGTTGCTGTTGTTGTTGTGGTCGTCGTTGTTGTCGTTGTCGTTGTCGTTGTCGTTGTTGTCGTTGTCGTTGTCGTTGTCGTTGTCGTTGTCGTTGTCGTTGTCGTTGTCGTTGTTGTTGTTGTTGTTGTTGTTGTTGTTGTTGTTGTTGTTGTCGTTGTTGTGACTGTGACGGTGTTTGTTCTCATAACTCCTTTTCCCTTACGCGCTCCCCCTTGCGCAGCCGGGGTCGGCGGATTTGGTTGGATTCAGCAAGCCTGGATGGTGAGAAAACATTCCGCCCAACTTTCTACTGTAATTTGGTGTAATTTGATGTATTTGTAATTTGAGATTCATGGAGCCTGTGTGTCTGCCACTGGTTTTGTTGAAGGGTCCTTTCATGCATCCCACGATCTTGGTCTAAGGTATCGCTATTGAGAAAGTTGCCCAGCCAGTGGCGCATTGGAGCAAGCGGTGGGTGGAAAGGAGTCTGCTGGATACTGACGATGCATGCTGTATTGACATCAGATCTGTTGTGCTGAGTGGGCTGAGTGGAAGCAGTACAGCGGAACCCGATGAGAAGGCAATGAGGCTGTCAGAGTGCGTGGCCTGTACAACTTCAGCAGCTTGGTTGTTCTCAGCGAATTACCTGAGCTGAGCAGCCCGCGTAACTCGAAACAATCGAGGGCTGAAAGTTCTCTCCGAGAGTAGATTCATTGTGGTCTAGTTCGGGCTGCGACATGACCTGTTCCACAGCCTGCTTGATTCAAAAGTGACCTGGGAATGGGCTGGCATTTTTTCGCCTCTCCTAGATCAGGCATGTGCTGTCAGAGCGTTCCCATTCACCCAGGTCTTGCAGAGATTCGTCCGCATCTCAGATGTGGGATGTTTTTGGAGCAAAGGCCGCGCAATATGCCAATGCGCACATACTGCTGACACACGCACACACCACACATAGAGACAACATGGAAGACCTAAAGATCCTCAAAACTTGGACACGCGAGCCATGGTGTGACGGGTGGACCATCGACACAGCCAAGGTTTGATCCGCATGGAGTCTGTAGGAGATCACGCTGATTCGATTGAAGCCTCAGTGTAGCTTGGCAGAACTTGTGGCAGTTTCAGGTGGTGCACTAGACGGCCAACTGAACAGACGATGTGAAGAAAGTCTGCGGAACATTCTAAAAAAGCTATATATACAGCTTTCGGACAGCTTTTGGCCATTTTATTTGCTCCAATTGTCGCAGGATGAATTCTGCAGTGATGGCAGCAACAGTGCCTAAGCAGCAATCTTTGACGGGACTCTATGCACATCTACAATATACTAACGGACCGAAACTTAGAATATCGTTTTTGAAACGCAACAAAAGTATCCGTTTAGCGCGAAGTACCCGTAGCGCAAGATTCGGCAAGATTTTTTTCTGCTAATCTTCACAATTTGCCGTGTATATGCATCGAAATGGCTTTTTCGGTACTTTTACGAGTACTTTTTGGATTTTTTGGTGAATGTAGGCACAAGGGGACTTAGAATATCGCCGCAACATGGTTTGGAAGATCTTGCTGTTGTTTTGGTGATTTATGCTAATCTTCCCAATTTGCCTTGTAATCCCTTCCCCTGTTACCAAACGGTCCCCCGTCCTCCCCCCAAATAAATAAACACCTGGAGGAGTTTTTAGTATTAGGGGGTACTCAGTATTAGGGTGCGACGCTTCCCCAAATATTAAGTTAACAACTCTAATTTTAAAAACTATAACATTTTCTATATCAAAATCGATTAGATTTCCTTTCAAATCTAGTTAACATATTGCCACAAATTTGATTTCGAAGCTCTCCCCTAATATTAAATTAAGAACCCTAATTTCAAAATCGATTGGATTTCCATTTAAAAATCTAAGTACAATATGGCCAAAACTTGGATTTCGAAGCTCTTCCCCTAAGATTAAATTAAAACCCTAATATAAAAGACTAATTTGTTCTATTTCAAAATTGGTTAGATTTCCTTTTAAAATCTAATTAAAATATTGCCCAAACTTGGATTTCGATGCTTTCCCCTAATATTAGATTAAACATGTTGATATGTTTTTTCGATCTTAAAGACGGGCCCCAACAAAAAAGCACCCTGCAAGAACAATTAGTTTTTATTATTAGGGGGTGAAACCATGAAATGGGACCTTCATTTTTAATTTGTTTTCGAAAGGGGATCAATTCAAAATCAAATTGGCCAGTCTGAAATTTCCCAAAATTTAACGTGGACCTAGTTTTGCATATTTGGAGTACGTTTAGTGAAAGGAGGTGGAGATTATATGCATCAAAATGGCTCCGACGGAAACCGTTTTCACTTTTCTTGTGATTCTTAGAACATTGGCAAAACATGATATGGAAGGCGTTTCTGTTGTTTGGTGATTTATGCTAATCTTATCTAATCTTCACAATTTGCCGTGTATATGCATCAAAGTGGCTCCGACGGGTACTTTTCTTTCACTTTTTTTCTAGTTGCTGGAATTAAAGTTGAAAACAGTAAGCTTAGAACATGTCAAAACATGGCTTGGAAGGCGTTTCTGTTGTTTGGTGATTCATGCTAATCTTCACAATTTGCCGTGCATATGCATTCAAAATGGCTCCGACGGGTACTTTTTTTTCACTTTCTTGTGATTGTTGGAATTAAAGGTGAAAAAAGCTTAGCACATGACAAAACATTGTTTGGACATTTTGGAAGGTGTTTCTGTTGTTTGGTGATTTACGCTACTCTTCACAATTTGCCGTGTATATGCATCACAATGGCTCCAGCGGGTACTTTTTTTGTCACTTTCTTGTGATTGTTGGAATTAAAGGTGAAAAAAGGAAGCTTAGCACATGACAAAACATTGTTTGGAAGGCGTTTCTGTTGTTTGGTGATTTACGCTACTCTTCACAATTTGCCGTGTATATGCATCATAATGGCTCCGGCGGGTACTTTTTTCACTTTGCTTCTAGTTGCTGGAAATAAAGGTGAAAAAAGGAAGCTTAGCACATGTCAAAACATGGTTTGGAAATTTTGGAAGGTGTTTCTGTTGTTTGGTGATTTACGCTACTCTTCACAATTTGCCGTGTATATGCATCACAATGGCTCCGGCGGGTACTTTTTTCACTTTTCTTCTAATTGCTGGAAATAAAGTTGAAAAAAGGAAGCTTAGCACATGTCAAAACATGATTTGGAAGGCGTTTCTGTTGTTTGGTGATTTACGCTACTCTTCACAATTTGCCGTGTATATGCATCATAATGGCTCCGGCGGGTACTTTTTTCACTTTGCTTCTAGTTGCTGGAAATAAAGGTGAAAAAAGGAAGCTTAGCACATGTCAAAACATGGTTTGGAAGGCGTTTTTGTTGTTTGGTGATTTATGCTAATCTTCACAATTTGCCGTGTATATGCCTCAAAATGGCTCCGACGGGTACTTTTTTTCACTTTCTTGGGATTGTTTGAATTAAAGGTGAAAAAAGGAAGCTTAGCACATGACAAAACATGGTTTGGAAGGCGTCTCTGTTGTTTGGTGCTTTATGCTAATCTTCACAATTTGCCGTGTATATGTATCAAAATGGCTCCGACGGGAACTTTTTTTATTTTTCTTGTGATTAGAACATGGCAAAACATGGTTTGGAAGGTGTTTTTGTTGTTAGGTGATTTATTCTAAATTCTAATCTTCACAAAATGCCAGAATTCATCATGCATGGAAAGATCAAACAGACTTGGGAAAAAGGATGCAAAAGGACGACAAGTGCGAGAAAACAAAATTGGGCCGAATCTTGGAAATCGGGAAAATTGATGAAAAAGTGCCACAACAGCGAGAAAACAAAATTTGACCGAATCTTAGAACATCGCCGCAATCAAAAAACTATAGCTTAGTTTTTGCGGCGATATTCTAAGATAATATACGGACGCGCCATTTTGGCGATATTCTGAGGTCTGGGTATCTCATTTTGGAAACTTTGGCGATATTCTAAGTTTCGCCCCGTCGCTATATTGATTATTAGCTGAGAAATATTGTATATCATAAAATTCGTATAAAAGCACCGTAAATCGCCTATGTATGTCATATATATTGTACTATATTGTACAGATTTCGCGAGCCATGGAACAGTTCTCGCACCAGGAAGCTTTCGAGGAAGCTGACCTGAGTGTGCTGGGGGAGTTGGATTTGCACACGTTCGTGCAGGCCAGAGAGTTACGATTCTGGCCATAGAAACTATTGGAAACTGGTTGACTTTGCCCAACATTGCCCAACATCCAAAATCTCTGAGTAACAGGCCCAGGGCTTGCAAAGCAAAGTAAGGATTAAATTTGAAACCAATAATTTTCTGACATTCATGAGGGTCATCAAGAAGTCTTGGCAATTGAATCTTATTATGTGAGTGATGTGTCATGTGAAGGAATGCTATGAGTCTTGTCGGCAAAATTGTCCGTTTCAGAGCTCAGCAGAGGCGTAAGCCATCAATACATTCATTTTTTTGTTGCAGGCACTGACTGATCCAGTCGTTGCTACAAAGGTGACTTGGCCAGACCTTTGTTTGTTGCAGAAGACGAAGTTTTAATGCAAAGATGGACTTTCAGTTTGGAACCAAAAACCGCGATCACACTTTAAACCTAAACCTTATAAAAGGAACTGAACCATTGATAGGCTGCCTCCAGAAAATTGAAGATGATTCAATCTGTTAGCATATGTACATGTGCTATCATTTGTCCAGATCTGCCTTGGAACATGGGCTCAGCCTCAGCCAAAGTGGAACATGCATTTGCTCAGAAAACCAAAGATGTGAATTGATTGAAATCTTCCCCAATGACTTGTATTAGTGCTATGTGAAATGTATGTGAGGTATCTCAGGCTACATCAGTCCCAGTGGAATGGTTCTTGAGTTTGACTGCAGAGCAGCTCCTTGGCACATCTTGGCGAGCACTTTTGACACTTTCGACTGAATATTATTTGATATGATTACATAATAAAAGTATATATATATATATAGATTGTATACTTCAAAATCTTCAAACTTCATACCCAGTTGTTTCGTTCCTTGTTTTAGTTTGGTGCTTCCAGTCTCTTGGGTCTCTTGGTACTGAGGCTGGTAGACCTGTTCCAGGACATTGATGCAGATTCAAATGGAAGTATATCTTTCGCGGAGTGGATTTCAGCCCTTCTCAGAGTTCGCAAAGCGAATTACGAGGCGCTTGGCCTGAAGTCATCTGTCGGGCTGAGTCGAGCTTGGCTGTGCTCTGGAATCACCAAAGTTGATGGGATTGAAGTTTGGAAATGAGGACATGCCTATATATAAATATATTTATATCTATATATATATAATATATCTATATATATAGGGGGGTTTCCTAAAATGGGGGATACCCCAAAATGTGTTAAATACAATGATGGTGTACCATGTGCACAATGCGCATACAATAGTGTACATGTACAATGTATGGATCAAGGCCTTGAGCCTTTGAACAATTTGAGAGCCAAGGGAGAAAACAATGCAGTGAGTGCGCGATACACAATTTGGTGCCAGTTGTGGAAGAGAACAACAGAGGAGATTGACAATTCGAACAGTGAAACTTTACATGGTAGCGGAGCAGTGATCTTGGTAACACAATCCAGGTGAGCTCCAAGACCAAACACACACAAACAGTACATCCACAAGATAGGAGAAACACTTGCACTGACGACAGGTCAGGCAATAACACCTACAACAACTACACAAGCACACCAACAAGCACAGGAGAAAAGAGAACAAGGAAACCGTGTAGGACAAAGCCTTGACCCCGACAACACGTTAGACGAGCTTTGGCGCAGTTTGCAGTGGCAACGCGTACAGGAGCAATAGCTCCAGCAGCAGCATCTGTCAAAGAAAAGGAACAATCAGTGTTTCAATCTTTTTCTGTGGCATTTTTTAAAACTCAGTGATGCAGTGCGTGAAGTTGACAAGCTGTCAGTAATTTGCTGGGTGAACAGCCTGTGCTTGTACAGTCCGCGGCTGTCTCAAGCTCACAATCTCCAGAACAAGGTCTTTTACAATGGCAGCGGCAGACTTCCCCAACCACAATACGGTGTTGGACATTCCGTCCTACCACAATTTGAAAACACAATACCTTGATCGCTGCACGTTGGTGAACGAAGAGGAAGCGACAATCACCATCATGAAGCCATTGGATCACAATGTGGAGAACGACAAGGTCTTCATTGATGGCATGAGTGACAATATGGTGGTTTTCTCTTTCACCGAGAAGGTGTACAATGAAATCAATCAGCTACATTTCTGGCGATGTGCGCAAGGCATTTGGATGGGGGCAAGCAATTGTTTCTCCTACAGTCCAGGATGCTGCCAACCAATTGCTGTGGCACGTGTCAAGGGGTCACAGCAGGCCAGAGGACAAGATGTATCTGATTTTGGTGGACCTCAATATCCACAGCTGGGGATCACACCATTCGATCCGTGCGGTGAACAATTTCCAGCGAGGCTACAGACTCCAAATGTACCAGCTCTTGCAGGGCTTTAAGTAGCGCCTGAGTGGCATTGAAAAGCGCACAATGATCGTGTTGCAGTACGAGTACAATGTTCTGCAGTTGGCCAACAGATGGTGTTGGACCAGTGGCTGCGTATGGGCCTACCCCATGCCGGTGTGTGTGACACAGGATCTGGAGACAGAATTTGGAGAACAATTCCATCATTACTGCAGTGACCCAGGGGATCCACAATGGAGGAAACGACGAGGTGAAGATGTTCCCAAAGCACATCAAAAATGAGACAGTGGATTACTACTTGGAGATGAATACGACAATCTCCAAATCCAACTTCATCCCAAGCCACAGTTTCGGACAGACCATGCCGAGTGGATCCTGACAAGGGACAATGAGGCACAAGAGAGTGATGACAATGATGATGATGGCAAGGAGGACGACAATGCGCCTTCTACGATGCCTGCCTTGAAGAAGCGCAAATCCCGTGAGACCACGGAGGTTGACAAGATCAGCTAGTGAGATGAACGACGAGATCTACAAGATATGGTTGAAACGTGATGGGAAATCACTAGACAGATTCGCCAAATGAGGCCGCGGTTTCAAGATATTACGGGCCGACAATGAGAACTTGCCCAGATCGAATACCGATCACAATGTTGTACAGTTCGAAGCTGGAAAACAATTCACAGTGTACTAGACCATCTTTTGTACATGCCATGGTTGTAGCATCGCAATGTCCAACAGTAGTCAAGATAATGTTGATACGGTTTGACAATGCTGCTGAAACAATTGTTCAGTTGTATGACTGTTCAATTGCGACGACAATGGAGCCAAGGGACGGTGTTAAATACAATGATGGTGTACCACGTGCACAATGCGCATGCAATAGGGAGGGCTATTTTTTATTCGCGGCAGGTTTGTTGTTTTTTGGGTCCTGGTTCTATGCTTACTGCTTTTCTGCTTCTCTGCTTTTCTGCTTGTCTGCTGTTTGCTTTCCTTCCTTTTGCTTTTCTTGCTTCTCTGCCTTTCATGCTTCTCCGCTTCTCTGCTTTCCCTGCTTCTTCTTTTCTGCTTCTCTGCTTTCCCTGCTTCTCTGCTTTTCTGCTTTTGTGCTTCTGTGCCTTTCTACTTCTACTATTCTACCTTTTTCTTTTCTTCAGTCATGTGTTTTGCTGCTCTACTTCCTGCTCCACCGCTTCTCTGCTTCCTGTCTTTACTACCTGTTCGTTTTTTCTTTTCTTTTGCTTTATTCTCTCCCGTTTGTGTCCTAAATCAAACCCTAAAGACCCTAGGTGAAACCCAAAGAAACCTTAAGGAGGTCCTGATAAGCACTCCTGATAAGAAACCTTTACATGAAGCCATAAACGAACCAACCCTAAAGAAACCATAAATTAACCCTGAAGAAATCATAAATGAAACCCTAAAGAAACTTTGAATCAAACCCTAAAGACACCCTAAAGACACCATAAAGACACCCTAAATGAAACGCTAAATAAACCCTAAATGAAACCTTAACGAAACCCTAAATGAAACCCTAAATGAGGCCTTAAAGAAACCTTCAATGAAACCCTAAATGAAACCCCAAGTGAAACCCTACATGAAACCGTACAGAAACCTTAAATGAAACCCTAAAGAAACCCCAAACAAACCCACATGAGCGTTTGGAAATCTTGATAAGACATCCTGATGAAACCCTAAAGAAACCCTACATGAAACCGTACAGAAACCCTAAATGAAACCCTAGAGAAACCCCAAAGAAACCCACATGAACGTTTGGAAATCCTGATAAGAAATCCTGATCAGAAACCCCTATATAAATGAAACCCTACATGAAATTCTAAATGAAATCCTAAAGAAACCCTAAATGAAACCCTACATGAAACCCTAAAGAAACCCTAAATGAAACCCTACACGAAACCCTAAATGAAACCCTGAATGAAATCCTAATGAATCCCTAAATGAAACCCCGAATGAAAGACTAAATGAAAGCCTAAAGAAACGCGCAAGAAACCCACATGAACGGTCAAAGTACCAAAATGTAGCAAATACCATGCAAATGAGAGGTTGAAGTGCCAAAACGTCACAAATACCATGCAAAATGGAAGGCAAACATTGCCACATGTCGCAAATACCATGCAACATGCAAAGTAACCATGCCAAAACCTAGAAAATACCATGCAAAATGACAGATTCTAGTTACAAACTGTTGCAAATACAAGGCAAATGGTACCAGGAAAGAAAACCAAAAAAGTCCAAAACCTGAGCCAAAAAAAAATCCCAAAACTAGTCTGAACCCATACAATAGTGTACGTGTACAATGTATGGATCAAGGCCTTGAGCCTTTGGGCAATTTGAGAGCCAAGGGAGAAAACAATGCAGTGAGTGCGCGATACACAATTTGGTGACAGTCGTGGAAGAGAACAACAGAGGAAATTGACAAGTCGAACAGTGAAATTTTACAAAAGGGATTGTTTATAATGGAAAATCCTTTTGAAATAAATAATTTGGAGGTACCACCATTTCAGGAAACTGCCATATATATATATGTATATATCCCCATTAGCCCCTATATATTCCCTAGCCGCCACTAGGCTGCCCGAGCTACCTTTAGATCCCAGTCTCACTGGTTTGGTTTTTGAAGTTTTGGGGGTTTTTCTCGGCGCTTCAGGAGGACAAAGCTGCGCGGCAAGAGGATGCTTGAAAGGAAAATTCACGAGTTGAAACAAAGGTAGTACTTCAAAGACTTGAAAGAGTTCAAATAGGGCATTGGAGCTGCGTGAAGCTGGAATAAATCAGTAGCGTTGAAAGGAGTGAAATTGGTGGCTCCTGCTCACTAAGGAGGCCAAGGCGATCCAGAAACTTGCAGAAGAAGCACTGGAAGAAGGTGACCTCGACTTGTTGCTCGGCAGCATTCTTGGCGGAGGGTTACACTTGCATCTGCGGTAGGTTAAGAGTGTCTGAACCTTCAAGCACTGTGAGGTCTGGTGAATTGGATTTCCGAGAGTTCATAGCATCCTGGCTTCTAAAGACTTGCACCGTACCAGCAATACCCTTGTCCTTGGGGTACTCAAGATATACTGTGGATACCTTCATGATTCATGCTACTATCATTTCGCACCTTTTGTCAACTAATACTATCATGCATACTGAATCATGCAGACATTGCAATATTGAACCGCCAAGCCAAGCGCATGTGTATATAATATAATATACATAATATTGAATATGTGACATATATGTATTTTGATATATATATATATTTGACATATGTGTATATATATATATATGTATTTACATATATATATATATTTATATGTATGTATATATATATATTCATACCGTATATATATATATACATGTATTCGTATATTTATAGCATGTATATATGTAT